TCTGATATGGGGTGATGATCAGGAGGGGACAAAGCCAATGGATGAAAGATGGATTCTTTAAAAACAGTCAATAACAGCAACATGTTAAGGCAATACATAAATAAATTAAATAAACTGCATGCCTCTCAAGGAAGCTGGCCAGGATTAAATTGGTAGCCTGGTTCCCTTAAGCTTTAATTCTGGTGGATATGCTTGGAAGTTAACTGGATAAGAATGCGTACTTCATTTTCTCATCCCGTATTTCAATTCCTTTTTATAGTTCGTTATCTGTGAAAGATAAGTTAGCTATCACAGGCTTCCAAATAACAGACTATCAATAATTAACTGATTTCTGATCACAGTCCTTTGTGTATCACCTTAATAGTGGTCTTTCTACAGGTTGCCTTTCTTCTGCCAGAAAAAATAATTTCCACATTTTTTTATCACCCATGATAATGAATGCAGGGAAATCTTGCTTTTCCCAAATGTGCTCCAGATAACTGGTGTTACTCAGAGCTAAATTCAAGTGCTATTCTCATCCAATAGGAAAATGAGAAAGAAAATGAACAGTCTCTAAGCCTGACAAAGAATATGACAGAAAATGACCTGATTTGCAATTTAACTCCATGGAGGAAGAGGTTAACAGTTAAAAGATTGAGATACACCTTATCTAAATAATTGCATGAACAATTTAAGTTGCAAAATGAGGTCCAGATGGAAGAGCTCAGAACTGTTCACTGTAGGAATGAGACCTGCTATGCTGGACATCTCTAAATCCAGAAAGAGACCATCACAGGATGAAGGCAAAAGTCCTGGCCAGGTCTCAGATTTTGAGATAAATGGGTTCCTCAGTGATCCTGCCACAAGGGTAGGAAACCAGTCTCATGACCTCTGAAGGTTGCATTTACTTCCATGGTAAAATTATTTACATTACTAAATTTTATCAAAAGCAGACAGGAGCAAATAGGATACAGATGCAAAACTGGCATAGTTCTACAGTCCTCTTATATACAAGGCACCAAAAGTGAGGGTCTATAGATGTGTTGGATGAGGTGATGTAAAAAGAAAAATGAACCCAGCAGATAATTTTACAACAAGAAATAAATTTCTGTGACTTGTGGTCCATTCAGAAAAATCGTATTCTCCATGACTTTTATTTACAAATCACCAAAGTGGGGGAAGAAAACAGGTGACTAGGGCTATATGAAAACATGAACTGGCAGTTGCACTATTTCAAGATGGCAACCTAAACTGTGAAAAATGGACTTGTTAGTGTCACAATACACAATTAAATCATTCAGGGTCACTCCAGGTGAATTCGAGTTGGCATGAAATAATTGCACAGACACAGAAAGTATCTTTTTCTTGGGGTCAAGTGATGGCTCTCAACCTTGGGAGTCCATTGGAAAGAGAGTGAGTCACCTAAATTCTTTATTTTTATAAACACAAAGGGAGGTTCCATGGAATGTTCTTTCCAAATAAGGCAAAGGGTCAGTTTTCAGGGGGTTGACTCTAGCTTCATGATGTCTTGTGGTCAGTAGATTGATTGACATCTTGGCAAGTCACACCCATCTCAGATGCTGTGTGGGATCAAAGGCAGAGGAAAGTGTTGCAGGCCCCAAAGAGCCCATCCAATCCTCCCATATGCTCAAAAGCTCAGAGCTCACACACACCGCCCCGGGCTGGCCTGCAACATGTTAGTTTACTGGATTTATAAAAAAATTAGTTCCTGCTTTAAAAGTTGAACTGAAAGAGACTTGCTTTACTTTGTCAATAACTGTGATACAGAGTAGTAAAGAACATAAAAAATGAAGTGGAAACATTTATACAAAAATGGCCATTTGACAATTTCTTTCTTCTTCTTCTTTTTTTTTCTTTTAGATAGGGTTTATCTCGTCTTTGAAGGAGGAGGCTTTTTCAATCCTAACTTGAAAGACAACTTTAGCACAATGTTACTTGATTGATGTTTGTTTCAGGTTATGGGCTTTGTTGCTCAAAATCAACCATCGAAATAAAACAAACAAACAAACAAACAAAAACCACCTTTTTAAAAATTTATATATGACAGTGGAATGCATTACAATTCTTATTACATATATAGAGCACAATTTTTCATATCTCTGGTTGTATACACAGTATATTCACACCAATTTGTGTCTTCATTCAGGTACTTTGTATAATAATGATTATCACATTCCACCATCATTTATAACCCCATGCCCCCTCCCTTCCCCTCCAACCCCTCTGCCCTCTCTAGAGTTCGTCCATTCCTCCCATAAACCAACTTCTTTTTACTTAAGAGCTTCTGACTCACATTATTCCCTTTCAAAATCCCAAAGACTCAGAACCAAGAATGAGCCAGGCATTATTATAGGTCCACTTTGCACTTTGAAAAAGCCCTCTACTCTCTCCTGAGCAGACATCTGGTTTGAAAAAACACTGAGCAGTGCCCCGTTTTCAAATTCCTTGTCTTTCTTGAGCCACTCTGTTTACTCATTTCCGTAGATCCAGGATTCCAATGCCTTGGGCTGAGGAAAGTAAAATGACAGATGGGAAGACAGGCCCCTCCAACATGCCTAGACTAAATAAACATTAGACTAGGCTCTGATCCTTGATTCCCCATTGTAGTTTAGCTAGAGTTGACTGGGGTAATCCTTGGGTAGTCATGGGCTGTGTGGAAGAGCCTGGCACCCTGTGGCCATGTTTAGTACTACAGCTGCTTCTCCACGTAAGTGCAGTTTATAAGCTCTCCCTAGCGGTGGGATGAAAGGTCTGTATGGTGCTGTCAATCTTTTACATTTTATTTTATTTAAAAAAAATTTTTTTTTAGTTGAAGACAGACACAACACCCTTATTTTATTTACTTATTTATTTTTATGTGGTGCTGAGGATTTAACCCAGTGCCTTACACACGCTAGGTAAGCACTCTACCACTGAGCTACAATCCAGCCCCAATCTTTTACATATTATGTTTACACCTCATTTAGTATCTACATTGAGTCGTTCTTCTTGATCAAAGGGAAAAATGTGTGTTCTAGTGTCTTGATTTGCACTTAGTATTGTTTGGGGAGTCTCAGTTGAGGGTTATCTTTTAATTTTTCAGCCTTAGAAGAGAGTATGGGGACTTGGGTAGGAAATTCCATGCACTACGAAACTGTTGTTATTGTTGAAAGTTAAAAGTTGAGGAGACTGGGAGCCAGTGTTATGATGGAATGAATACAAACTAGAAAACCAGATCTTATTTCCAGTCTTTGCTCTGTCACAAATCATATGTTGTAGTCTGGGGAAAGTCATTTACCCTGTATGGGTTGGATGTCTATGAGGTTAAAGAGGATGGGCCAGTTCATTTCCAAAGTCCTTCTGGATTTTAAACTTCTGTGCACTGCCTGTGGATGGTATTTTCTGAGGCCTGAACCATGTTTCCTGGCCAGTTTTAGAGGACACAGAACATCTGCTCCTCTTTCCCATCATTGTCCCTCCCTGAGAGCAGTCTTAGCTTAGGTTCCAACCATATCTACTACTTTTCAATAGCCCGTGTCTGTTAGAGCTAATATCTGTTATCAAGCATTGATCTCTTTGGTTCATTTTATATCCATCCAAAAATGAAAGTCATTGGCTTATTCATTGATAAATGATGTAAACTCAACCTGGCGGTCTCTGAAACAAGTTTCTGTCTTGCTTACTTTGGTCTACTCAGATATTTTGAGTATGTGTCACTGATATCATTCATTTGACTTATATTTTTGGTGCTGAGGAATGAGTCCAGGGCCTCACATGTCTAAGCATGTTCCCTGCCATCAGGCCACACTCTGGCCCTCATTTGACTTCACTTCATTGTTATCTTGTGGTTGCAGTCTTGATCTTGATGGCACAATTGGACACTATCAGGAAACATCATGGCATCCATGCTGTCATTCAACAGAACCTCAAGTCACATCTACTTTGAAGAGACTATGAAGACACATACAAGCCCAGATACCAAGGAGCTTGTAACTCATAGGAGATTTGTACAGGGAGCTCTAACAGCACAGAGTGAAACCTAACTAGCCTGGAAATGATATCTGGTAAACCTGGAAGGATGTATATGAGTTATTTAAGCAAGAAGGAGCTTAAGGAGAAGGTAATTTCAGCAGTAGGAATTTAGCCAACATTTCATGATTGTTTTCAACGATATGCCCCTTTCTAACTTCAGATATATAGGAATTGGAGGACGTTCGAGTCTAAACTTATGTCTAAATTCACTCTGCAATATCCAATTTGGAGTCAAGTGTCCTGGTGTGTACCTGAGGAAAGTACTCCTAGGTCTTGAGATAGATCCTTGGAAGTTTTAGCCAACCTCCATCAAGCCTATGGATTCTTCCAGCACACACCCAAATCCAGCAGGTGGCTATATGTGGGCTATCACAGGTCTTAACCCCGTGGAACAGGAGAGCAGGATTAAAGGCTTAAGGAGAAGGCAGAGTGAACAGTTTGGGGATGTTTTTAGTCTAGTAAAAGAAGACAGGAAGATTGAGGGCAGAGAATGCTGGGAAGCCATTTTATGTTATTTTGAGTAGAATAAAAGCTCTCTTAATTGACTTCTACTTGTTTTTCTCCAACTTTGCTGTAAAACTTACTGGCAGATGCCATAGCAGGCTGAATGCTCATGGCTCCTCTCTGGTACTCTTGGCCATTTCTGCTCAGTTGTGCTTACATAACTGAAACACATGTATTATACCTCTCTTGCACCCCATTTGAACATGCAGACTTTACTTAAAAGCTTACCACCTAAACTATATTTGTCTCGAGCTCCATCTCCTGACTGTACTGGTACTGAGTTCTCTTTGGATACTACCGGGTCACTGGGTTACCAGCTTCTTCTATGTACAATAGCTGTGGTCTTCACACTCTTAATCCAGGATGGGGCTGTGGTATTTGGAATCCCTCTAGACCAGCTACCATATCGCTTAATAAGGACAGGGGGAAAGAGGCCCTAGAAAACTGTACTAGGTTTGCTCATCGAGGAAAAACTGGAAGAAGAGCATCTTTGAAAATTTCTTTATTTATAGACATTTTGGAACCATGTAGATCAACAGACAATGAGTTCTTTTAGACATAACACACTGTGTTTATCTTGAGGTACACACTGGGCCCACTGGAAAATGATACAACTGTTAACTTATAGTTAACAACCTCAGTTTTCCAAGCCAAGAAACTGTAAAGACAGTTACAAAATTCTCTGCAAACAATACAACATCTCCATTTAAGTTGAAGAGAATTCCCCAAATTCTTAATGGAGTTCAATTTTTTTTTTTTTAGGCTGAGTTGAAACAATATTTTGAATGGAACTGAATGTAAAAATGGGAGTTTATAGTTAAGAAATTATCTGAGCCCTATTACATGAGATTGTAAACAAAAAAATTTGTGATCTGATAAGCTCTATTACAAAAATTCATAGCTACAAATTAGAGCAGCAAAATTACAGAAGATATTTATATATAGACATTTATATATAGTTTTAACCGAAATTGCATTTACTCCTTGTTTCTGGCTACCACAATGAGACAAATTTCAAAACTCCAAGTTTTGAAAACTGACTGATGTGATTTAACAGATGCGGCCTAAGAATCTCACAGTATAACCACCCCATAGTATGAAAGTCCTATTTGCCATCATTTGTACGTTGGGCCTTTTCACTGTTCTTGCCTTAGTAGCCTTAAGATTACTAGAAAAATGGTGGAAATTGATAATAATGGACATGTTTCTGAAGGCCTTATGTGTCCAACAACAGATTTAACTTTTCTGGGAGATTGAAACTAAAATTTTCTTTGAACAGTTCACCAGGTTCTTGGAGAACTAGTTTGCTTTCTCGTTTGTGGAATGCCAACCTTATACTACTTAGGCTAGACGAGTAGCAACTCATTATACCAAGTGTTTGGAAAATGAAAGACTTGTCTATCCACACTCACCCCCTGCACTTCTCCGGGAGATGTGTGGCTGATGTGCAGGTGGCTATGGAATGTGAGCAGAGGCTGTTAATGTGTCTGCCATAGGTTGGAATGGACTGTCATAATATTTCCCATAAGATTGCTGGATTTTTCCAGGAGACAAGAATAAACACTGCGATTTAGCTGAATGGGTGTCTGCTACAACTTCATAAACTTGGATGGTATATGTGGGTTGGTTCAAAGAGTGTGAGCGTACATTTCACAGTTCATAAAGTTGAACAGCTCAACTTAAAGAAGAGACAACTTGAAGGCGTTTACAAGATTCTGAGAAGGAATTGATCTGTGTTTGAGTTCTCCTTCTGCGTTGGGTCATTTTACGTTTCAGCTGCTTGGCTTGGTTTATTGCTGATTTTCTTCTCTGATGGGGGCTGTGAAGATGATTTTAGCCATGAATTTAAGTACTGGAAAAAAAAAAGGTACTTTCCCCCAAACACCATGGTCACTCTTCCGATCCTAGGGACCTGTCAAACAAGGATGCATTCAGTCTTGACCAGCTGGTAGAAAAGATTCTGCTCATGGGATCTCTGCACACTGCTTTTCATTGCAGATCACAGCTCTCAGAAAGGAGGGGCTGTTTCCTTCAGATTCCTGTTCTGCATTTATTGTCATGATTCTTTTGGGGGCTGTGCATACTGTCTAATCAAGGGCATGCCAGACAGGTGCTCAGATCAGAACAACAGTTACGTTTGTGGCTTTTAGAAATGCAGAAGATACTTTTTATTAGGATTAAACCAAAATTCCAAGTCAGTAAAAGAAAAATACAAGACAGTGAGAGGACACTTTCTGCCTCCATGTTACAAGTTTGAACAGTCTTGTGGTGTTTATTTAATACCCTTAGCTGCCACTGCTCTCATCTGTGCATATTTAAAAGACAGGACACACTTCACTCTCCATACAGCCAGCTGCCCAGAGGAGTTCACGTCTCTCTTATCCATACCTACACCGTCTCAGCAACTGTGATTTTAAGTATGAACAAAGTGAGCTCCAAGAAGGCAGGGGCTGGGTCTTTTTATGGTATTGGGCCTGGCACAAAAAAGTTGCTCCATGAATGTATCATGAATACATGAATCTAAGGCAGGTCCTTGTCCTTGAGGACTCCAGGTTGCCAATCAATATAAACTTGGCACGAATACACCAAGATCAAAACAAATGAGCAAAAGGAAAATGACCCTATTTTGTCTAAGGTTTTTCCAAAAGAAAAAAAGACAAATGGAGTCAAGTGTTTATGGGAGGTGACCTTTTGTACGAAACCAAAACAAACCCTGTTTCTTGCTTTTGAGTTTGAGAATCGTGTCCAAGTGCTGAATGCTGAAAAACTGTTGGGAGCAAGGGTGTACCAATGAAAGCAAGCCGCTTTCCAACCACATCTCGTCTGTTTTTATCCTAAAGGGAAATTCTGAGAGGTTAATTTCCTAAGAGGGATGTTTTCTAAATAACAGTCTTGTGGGTCACGTGAGTGTGGCGTGGGAAACTTCTTCATACATCTGACAGCTACTTAGGAAGAGGTGCTCCAGTTTTGACAGTTTATAGGTTACTCTTTTTACCTGGAGTATAGTATTTACATTTTGGGAGGCATATTAGGAATGAAGAGCTGTTTTTTTTTTTTTTTTTTTTCTTTTTTAAAGGACTTCTGAGATGGAAAATTAAAATAGGTACCGATTCACCTCACTACTACCATCAGATGCATTAGAAACATTTTACTAATGCTAAGAAATAGTAGACATATTTCACAGAAATACAAAACCCAGACTGGCGGGTCTTGTCTTTAAATTAACTTATTTATTTTTTAACTTTGGGAAGTAGGAAGAGGAGACAATAAAATATGACCCAACCCTGCAAGGCATGATGACACCCTAGTGACTGATCTGCCGGACCTGAGAGGCCACAGCGCACACTTGTCGAAGGCTGTCTACACATTCAGGATCCAGGGTCGGACTTGGGGGCTGTCTGGATGCCTTGATAAGAGGACTCAAACTTCTCTAAGGTTAATAATGGTCCTTCAAAAAGTCAAGAATGGGGATGAAGCCATGATGTTCTAGAATAGTTAGTCACTGTTTAGCAAAAATTCTCCGACTTCTGGAATTCTTGGAACAAAAGTATGGTGACCAAGTATTTTCTTTGGAAGAGAGGAAAGAAAAGGTGTATGAAATTAACAAGTATATTTATTGATATTTTAAAAATAATTACCCATCAGATGCAGGGCATAGAATAACAGGGTTGGTATGTTTGATTTGTGAGCTCTCAGAAGGGTGTTGACACACCTCATACTCTGAGAAGTACTTTTTGGACCGATTATTGGCAGGCACCCAGGAAAAGACCCTCAAAGCTGAGAATTATTATTTGACAGAAACTATCATTTCTCTGGATGCCAGCATGGATATGCAAGAATTGGCCCTGTAATGGGCTTGAAAACACACTAATTTCTTCATTACAGATATTTCACGGGTCTGTTCAAAGTTTTCAGCAATGAAGCCTAGTAAGACTGAGCTTCAAGATTTAGGGTGTGGAGAATCTTTGGAATCATCCCATCCACCGTTCCTAAGATAATCAACTTTGTTGAAGGTCCCCAAACCTCAATGGATATTTATTTGAATGCGAATAGATGTTACCTGAAATATCAGACTCAAAATTATGTTTAAAACATAGGCTCACATATGTATATGTCTTTTTTTTTTCTCTGCTCAATAAAAATTAGCAGCAGTTACAGATCAATTACTGTGGTCATGATTTGTATTATTTCTAAGGACATCATCTATCTTCTATCAGCACATGACTTTTGGAAAATGCTTCTAGATAAAAAGATCCCCACCAAGCATAACAGTAAAGTGTCATTTCATATCACTAACATTTTCAGGCACAAGAGTAAAACAATAAGCACTAAGCAATCCAAACAACAGAGCACAGAATATAGTTAATTGTCTAAAGTCAACTCCCCCAAAGAAGGGAATTGCTAAAAAAAATGTTTATTTATTTATTTTTTTAAGATTCTTATGTCTTTCAGCTTTGGCTATTTTGTAATAAATATCATACCTTCTCGCATAAACCGACTGGGTAAGAATGAGTTCTCTGAATATGCCTTTGTTCTGGTAGCAGCTGCTGAGTGTTGAGGGACGTACAAGGCACACCTCTAAGTGTTCTGTACAGCATCTTTATTGATGTACAAAATAGCCTGTTCACCATTCAAAAATGTAATCTGCATAGTAAGAGTTTCTCTTATCCCTATTTACAGAGAAGGTTTTTTAGTGCAAAAACATGAAACTGTGTCCCAGCCCACCCCTCCTGGCACATGTGCCAATTAGTTCTGTCCCATGCTAGCTGGGGATATTTGGCTATATTTTGGGCCTCCAGCCATTAATGAATTGCATTATTTTCTTCACCTGCAGTTTGCTTAACTTGAAATCCTCTGAGAGAATTTCTTCCGTTAGTTGAACAAGCAAATTCCCATCAATCTTTTCGGTGACAAAGAAGGATATGACGTCTTCGGACAAACCAATGAACCGCAAGGACTTGGACACTTCTTCTATAGACAGTCCAGACAGGTCCGCGGGTGGCTGCCACGGGGAACCATCACCACAGGACCTGGGGGCCAGCTGGAGGTGAAGCGGAGATGAGAAAGGGTAAGAGACAGCAAAGATGTCCTGCATGCCCTTTTTAACAAAATATTGGTCCTCAGAGAGGTCCGGTGACCCCCGCTCGGGGTCCTCCTCAGCACCATCGATTTTCAGAGGCAAAGGAGATGTTTCAGGGACGGTTTTCTGTTCCACTGGCTTTGGGGCCCTGGGGGGTAAGGCAGGGCAGGAGATACTCTGCTTGGTCATGCAGGGTGCAAGAGCACTCTCCTCTGTGCTCTCCAGAGAGTAGCTAGCTGACTTGGGACAACCAGAGACAGTGCTACTGAATTCTGCAGTGACTGAGCTGGGGTTGCTGCTCAGGAGCTCACAGCCATCAAAATCGAAAGGTGCTGGGCAGTTTCTCTTTGGTGTGCCTGGTGTCTTTTGTCTGGGATAACTGTAACTCCTGCTTGGGTCCAGCAGGAAGTCACTCCTGGTCTGGCTCTCTGATGTGGCTGAATAATGATTAGGCCATGAGAGCCGGGAGGACAGGGCCTCAGCAGAAGGACTTCCGAATGGGGATTTCAGGTCCACAGAATCAGCTTTCACTCGGTTGCACGGATAGCAGGAGACAGGAACACTTTCAGAAGGACTTGTGTCACTTTTAGTAGAGCTGCTTAAAAAAGCAAACACACACAGAAAAGGAAATTAGTTTTTTTTTTTTTAAAGCCACATCTCAAGCCTTTTGTTCTTCACCGATGTTAGTTACTTCTGAGCAGAAAATACAATTAGGAAAAAGTATATTTCTTATCATGAAATCAATGAAGTACCTGCTAACCTCATAGTTTTTTTTTTAAAGAATCTTTAATGACATATATTGATAATTATAGATATGTACGTAATGATTTAAAATGCTACCATGGAGATAGGAACAAAAATAATTTTTAGTTAAGAAGAAAAGCTTTGTTAGTAAACGCTTGGATCTTTATGATGATAAAAAAATTCCCAAACCATGTTTTGGGCTTTGCACCAACAGGTGTCAAAATTGATTAGTGATATATGCGGTGGGCAAAGGGGAGCAAAAGAGTGGTAATGGGTGTCTCATCCTTGCCAACCTTGTGAGACAATGACAGAACACATCACTACCACCCATGTCTCTATTTACACCCAAAAGTCTGACACAGGAAGACATGTTTCCAATAATATGCTTTCCTCACCTTGGTTTCTACACTACTGAGTTACATTAGCATAAGAATTTAAGTGTCCAAAGGACAACAACAACAACAAATATGGAAGAGAGTTACTTTAAACTTCAAGGACACATGTGGTGGCACATTTAGCCTGGGGGCCCTATTTTAAGAGGGACAGTGAAACTAGAGTGTGCTGGAAGATGGGTAGACAGAGCCAACCTGCTGTCTCTTTGGGATAAGACTTATAGAGACTTTAAATTTTCATGGGCTGACAGAAGTGTGGCAGACCTATTTTATTTCTCTAGATGTAAGAAGCAGTTGAGTTACATGGAAATAGATTTTAACTTGACAGTCTGAAAAACTTTTTTTTTTTTTTAAATAAAATGTTGGCATTTGCCAAAAATGGATGGATGGCACTGCCAAGAGAACTGAGCTCACAGCACTGGGAGGATCCAGACAGGAGGGAAGGACCACCCAACAGCAGTGATCAACGAGGCATTTCTGTGTCAATGGGAATTTAGAGCAGAAAGCCAAGGGGACCCTTTCAATTTGAGGTGCTGTCTGCTTGTGTCAAAGTGGAAAGAACTAGGTGCTGGCATGTGAGAATGGATGGCATCCTCTACACGCTGTTTCCAAGAGAATCCAGAGGCTTTTACACTGACTTCTCATAGACCCCTGACATCTTTTCTTCCCAAGACACTGGCTCTTCTGTCCAAGGTGAAAAACAACAAGTGCCACCCCTTCATGCTCTTTCAGTAAAATTACTTTAAATGATAAAAACCATTTCCTTTCCCACTGCCCTGGCTAGAGGACACTCTCCTGGCTGAGGAGAAATCAGGTTGCCGTGAGCCCTTGCAGCCAGACTTACATGTTGTGCAGCCCTGAAGAATAGTAGGACAAGGTGGGGCTGGGAGAGCGAGTCTGTGGCCGTGCTGGCTTGACTGTGCGAGGAGGGATGGAGGGACTCGTGGACAAAGGCTTTGTGCTTCGGGGTGGAACAGGTGGGGCGTTCAGGAGCCGGCATTCTTCCCTGACCTGGTGTAAAAAAGAATACTCCAGATTAGCAACAAACTGACAAGGACCCTGGGGCCAGCTCCATCCTGTGGGGTCAAGTGGCTACTCTTTAAGCAATAACGGCGGGAGAGAGAGAGAGAGAGAGAGAGAGAGAGAGAGAGAGAGAGAGAGAGAGAGAGAGAGAGAGACACACACACAATGGGAGCAAACAAGAAAGATGGTAAACACAGAGCTGCCAGGGATAGAACTAGACACCTGTCACATACTTGCTGGGAACCGACTGATTTTGAAAGAACCCTGTTTGGTGAAACATTAGCTGCTGCAGAAATATAGCAAATCATGTGCAACACAGCAATTACAGTGCCTTTGGTCAAAGACCTAGTGAAATGTGAGGATGTACAGCAGAAGTATTAGGAAATAAGGATAGAAGGTGGTTCCCATGTTAGTAGCGGATTAGACTTTCTTCCGTAGATGTGTTTATTCACTGTACAAATGAAACTCACTTTGACCCAGGTTGGGAATGATAGACTTTCTCTAGGATTAAAGCTCCTGAAGCTATGTTGTGTGGACACGCATGTGTATGTGTTTATTAGGGGCTGACAAATGGGATGTGTCAAGTGTATATGTTCATGTGAATCACCTGGGGAATCCTGTCAAAATGCAGATTCTGTTCAGGAGGCCCACAGTGGGGACTGAGAGTCTGTATTTCTAACAAGCTACTAGGTGAAGTGGAGGCTCCGGGATCAGGAAACAAGGCTGCAGAGGGTACAATGGAGTAGCACTCCAATTCCAAAAAGTAGAACTTTTTATAAGAGCTGCTTCTGACTTGCTTGCTCTCCCTTCAACTTCACACTGGCGAGGATCTGGGTGACTTGTGACGTTCAGGTCTTTGGAGCTGGCTGTCCTGTGCAGCTTTCCAGCCCGTGCAGGCATTTCCCAATGCAGTTCTTGTTAACCTGGTGGGCATTCTGTATGTAGTTCTCTAGGTCAGGCAGCAGGGGGCAGTTTCCACCTGGTCCTTCTAGTCAACTACAAAGGTAAAAACAGCCAATTTGGACTCTCAAAAATCCTGTGCTTTGAAATGCCTCATGCCTGTTTTTAGGCCATGTTCCCACCACTTTTCTCACCTTTGCCTTCAACTCCTTTCTGTCCCAGCGGTTGTGGGACAGAAAGACAAGGAAACAGCAAGAGCAAGCTTTGGTGTTGAGTTTGCTTCCGATGAAATGAAACGGGCTCCCACTATTGACATCACATCATCCACCTCCTACGCCAACTGCACACTGGGCCTCCTACTGGCGTCCCAGGCCTGAATCACTTGCCAAAGAAAACCAGCCTTTAAGGAAAGTCACTTGGTCATGGGCAATCCAGCAGATCTTGATTCTAAAGTGAAATGGAGGCGATTTAAAAAAAAGTCTCATCCACTGTGTTTCTTCCTGGGGCTGGGATCACTACTCCCATCTGCAGGACCCACAGCCCTCTTACTGGGGACCCCTGGGTTGGTAAGAGGAGTCTTTTTCATATGGAGAAACTCTTTAAGCTAAAGCAAAATATTCAGAGAAGCAGAATTCTTCCCTAACAGCCGCATGCTTCTCCTTTTTAAGCTTTTAAAAAGGTGGCAGGTGAATGGGCGCAGAAAGAAAACCTGGAGGCAACGAGGCTAGTGTCAAGATGAGGGAGGACTGTTCAGCTCGGGCACCCTTTCCCCAAAGTCTTCTTTCCCTTCAAAGCTAAGCTCGCCCTAGAACATGGAAGGCCTGGCTGGGTCACCCCACACCCTGGCTTTTGGGGGGCATTGTTCGTCTTCCTTTTGTCTTATTAGTGACCTGTACCGTAGCCAGTTGTGTTTCTTCTCTTTTTTCAGGAGTGTCTACCAAATCTAGGATGGACTGGTGTAACATTATAACAGGTGGCCTTGGTTGGGTGGATGTTTATAAGTAACAGGCAATATGGGAGATGTGAGCAAAGGGCTCTGCTCACTTAAATATTAAAACAAACAATCACATCTCAATACTGGGGTTGAGTGGAACTGAGGAAAACAGGTCAACGCTTAATTCAATTTAGAATTTTCTAAGTTTTGGAATCAGTCATTAAATATGACATTTCATTAGGCACTGCTTACCTGGGATGTCAATTATAATATGCTGAGATGTCAATTATAATATGCAATTTAAAATAATTGGCTGGCTTAAGTCTTGGCACTCAGAACAGAATCCACTTGTAGTTGAATGTGGTGTAAGGGAAATCCAGTCTTCCTATTTTTATAACCAGCCCCAGATACCCAAGGTCTGCCACTTCATTCAGAGCGAGGCAGTCCTGAGGGCTTCTCAGGGGCTTTTCATGATGTGGGGGAGGTGGAAAGTAAGTTTGAGAAACAGGCTATTTCTCAAACAGAGAATCACCTCCCCCAGAGGATCCATCACCTCTGGCACAAAGATGCTGTGCAGGATGCCAGGCAGAGATTAACAGATGAACAGGTTCATTTTTTTTTTTTTTTCAACAAACATTACAACAAAAGGCATTTTTACTTTTAAACATATACCACAGAATGCCTTTTCTATTTTTATGTGGAAACTGATATTGATGAGTCATTCAGGCGGGGGCTAGTTTCTGTGACACCCATATTCACTGATAACTTAGGGAACAAAAAGAAGCCCCAGACCTGGGCACATGGCCCACCATTGTAGGCTCCAGGACGTGGCGAACAGAAAGTTATGGCCACTGGGAATGTTTACAGCTGAGACCCTAAACAGAATCTGGGACATGGGCAACTTTTTTTGCCGGGGGTAGCGGGGACTGGGAACTGAACCCAGTGACACTTTACCATTGAGCTATATCCCCAGTCCATTTTATTTATTTATTTTGAGACAGAGTTTCTCTAAGTTAATTAGGGCCTCACTAAGTTGCTGAGTCTGACCCTGAACTTGTGATCCTCTGGCCTCAGCCTCCCCAGTTGCTGTATTATAGGCATGCACCACCATGTCCAGTCATGGGCAACTTTTGGGTGGCCACATGGCTCCTGAAAGGAGTTTGGGTGCAATTATGAGTTCAAAATAAAAGGATTAAGCTTACTTGAAACCCACTTTGGAAAAATGGTCGTTTAAAAAAAAGACAAATTTAAAGGTATTCATCTCATCCATGATAAGAATTTCAGGTGTCATTGTGTTGAGGCACAAAACCAGTGCTGGACCAGCAGGTGGGAGGGGTGGGCATGGATAGGTGAGCACAGTTGATGATCCCTCCAGGGAGCTTTGGTATTTTCAACTTGGTGCTGCAGATGTGGCTGCTCCGGTGAAATCATATTTCACAGCATTTTATGGGAAGAATTATATGCTTTGGTGGGATGTATACATTTTGGGGTTCAGAGTTATACTTTCTGTCTCATACCCTTAAAACAGTAATCATTCTTTGCTTTTTATTTGATTCAACATGGACGGTTTACATCCAAGAGGAAGGTAGTTATGCTGTAAATGAATTTTATCTGACAATAAAGGACTGGAAAGGTCAATCACCCTATTTCTAGCTTCCTCTCATATTCAATTTCACTTTTAAGGGCTACACTTTTGGCACATTCTTTCTAAAAGCCTCAGCATATGGCTTTCATCATGTTGTTCCCATCTCCAGTGACACCCCCTTCCTCCCATTGCTGGATAAAGGCCAGACTCTTCTGCCTTCCACCCAAGTCCCTCTGCCGCCTGTCTGGCTCCAACCTACCTTTCCTGCTCTCTCTCCCGCTAGTTCTCCTTAAGAACACACCTTGTGCTATTTTGCCTCTTTCCCTGCTTTAGTGTATTTTGCCCACTCTGACTTAAACACCCATTCCTACCGCCCAGCCCAATGTTACACGCTCTGTCCTGGACCATCTCGCAGCCACTAGGGCTGACCCCCACTTCTGAACACGCTGTCACACTTACTCACCCCCCACATATACATAATTAGCCTGAGGGCTAAAATAATAAGGACTGTCTTTATTGTGGTTCTGAGGACAGCAGAATTGGGGATGCCACATAGGATGCCTGGCAGAGATTAATGGATTAACAGGTTCATTTTTTTTTTCAACAAAAAATTACAACAAAAGTCACTTTTATTTTTTATGTGGAAATTGATATTGACGAGTCATTCAGGTGGAGGTTAGTTTCTGTGACACTCATATTCACTGATAACTTAGGGAACGAAAAGGAGCCCCAGACCTGGGCACATGGCCCACCATCGTCTCCCCTCCATACTCGGATGTAGTTTGGAGTGAATGGCAATGGCAATGCCTATGTTCTCCAGTTAGGACATGTGGCTTTGATTTGTCACAGCCCCTAGAGTAAATTCATTCCAAGATGAAGATAAAATAGACTATTTTGTGCCTGGTGGATTAGAGCCTTTCTGTTATTTCAAATGTAGTACTGAAGACTGAACTTTAGTCGGTGACTCATGAGGGAGAGGTATCTGAATTTTCAGGAATAATATCAGTACCAAGTGAGGGGTTGGCATCGTTTTGAGGTGGGTGTTAATCTACTCCCAGTGTAGATTATGGGTGACCTCTGCTTATCTCTAGGCCATTTATGGCTATGAGCAGTTTGGTGTTCACAGAGAAACTCTGTGGCACCAAAGTCTTACTGTTTAAGACAGAGCCAAACCAGGTTGTGGCACACACCTGTAACCCCAGCTGCTTGAGAGGCTAAGGCAGGAGGATCTCAAGTTTGAGGCCAGCCTGGGCAACTTAGGGAAGCCTGTCTCAAATTGGTGCAGCCAATATGGAAAGCAGTATTGAGATTCCTTGGAAAACTTGGAAATAAAACCACCATTTGACCCAGCTATCCCTCCCCTTGGTCTATACCCAAAGGACAGCATGCTACAGGGACACAGCCATATCAATGTTTATAGCAGCACAATTCACAATAGCTAAACTGTGGAACCACCCTAGATGCCCTTCAGTAGATGAATGGATCAAAAAAATGTGGCATATATACACAAAGAGAACAAAATCATGGCATTTGCAGGTAAATAGATGCAGTTGGAGAAGAGAATGCTAAGTGAAGTCAGCCAATCCCCGAAAAACAAATGGCGAATGTCTTCTCTGATATAAGGAGGCTGACTCATAGTGGGGTAGGGAGGGGGAGCGTGGGAAGAATAGACCAACTCTAGATAGGGCAGAAGGGTGGGAGGGGAAGGGAGGGAGGGGGAAGGGGGTTAGCAATGATGGTGGAATGTGATGGACATCATCATCCAAAGTACATGTATGAAGACATGAATTGGTGCCAACATACTTTATATACAACCAGAGATATGAAAAAATGGTGTTCTATATGTGTAGTGAGAATTGTGATGCATTCTGCTGTCATGTATTTAAAAAATAAAAGCAATATTAAAAAAAGGCAGTGGGGAATGGGGGGTGGGGAGGCTGGTGATATAGCTCAGAGGTAGACTGTTTCTGGGTTCAATCACCAGTACCACATGGACAGAACCAATAAGCACAACGCAGATCGAGTGGCAGCACGGAGGGCTGACTCCTGTCACATCCAGAGCCTTGTTTTGTGAGCAGTTTCCTAGTCTAAAGCTTTTCTCTGAAGCTGCATAATTCTTGATCCTTGCTCCTTCACAATAGTCGTTTCCCTTTCTCAAATGTCAATGACTTAATTCTTATCAAATGACACCGCTACCCTGGGCATGATAACCCTTTCTCTGGTATGCACTAGCAAGACTGCTAACCTAGGGTTAATAAACCTAATTCATAAAAAGGGAGAAATGGTGAGTTCTGTTCTAGAGTCTACGGAGCACATTGCTAGGGAGGCGTATTCGAGAGACTGCCACTGAACACACTGAAATAATCTAATAGCGGGGGCTTAAATAAACTGTCCAAGGCGGAAGAGAGTGGGGGACCACAGGCACCGCCTGCTTCCACTGTCCCCAAGAGTCTGCAGGACACAGCTGTCACTCCGCCCTTCCCTGTGTATTTATATTAACTTCATTTTCCTGCTTATTTGTTCAGATGCATGTTGAACGCCTGTCATGTGCTTGGGGAGCTCGTGTTGAGTATACAAAAATGAGCAACTTGTGGAATTAGCTGTGACTGGCGGGAGACAAATACAATTAAGATACAAATTGTTAAGGGTAATAACAAAAGTATGTGCAAGGGCTCATGGGAACACCAGGAATTTACTCAAGGTAGTAGAGAATAAATTCATAGGAAATTTTACTGAGAAAGTCTTGAGGAAGAAAGAACCACCGGCATGATGCTCTGGCCTGGGAGCTTTGATGATAAGGCAGACACTGGTGCCATTTATCAGACAGAAACTCAGAAGGGAAAACAGGGCTTGGGAGAAATCGAGAAGTTCAGTTTGGAGATCCTGTTTTCGTTTTATTTTGTTCTAAAGTCATGGTGACATTGAGATCCAGACAAGAGGCAAAGAAGGGTGAACCCCAGCGGACGGGCAGAAGATGAGGAAAGACAAGGGACAGCATCTTACTGCTCACAGAGCATAACCATGACTGAAGGAAGCCAAAGGCGGGGGAGCACAACTGAGGAAAGATGGAGACAGGCAGGAAGCCATGGAAAGCACTGCAGAGGTTCACCACCGTGGAAGTTAGCAGGTCCCTGGAAAGCTTAGCAAATGAGGCTTGAATTATGTGAGGTAGCTAGAAAGCAGATTCCAATGAGTCGAAGCTAGACCAGGAGGTGAGAGTGGAGTCAGTGAGGCAGTCTGCTCTTTTCTGGAGCTGGTTAGAAAGGAAGGGGTGCAACAATTGTTAAAAAGGGATACTGGATGGAAGGCAGCATGCTTATTAAATTTTTTTTTGGAAGAAACTTGAAAAATTGTGACTGGGTATGTATATACATGCACATAACCCAGAGGTTAAGTTACATGCACCCCGAGCTCAACTTTTATTTGAGGACAGAGAGGAGAACGCACAGTTCCCACTGCTCTCTACCTTTGCTGTGCCATCACTGGCCACATAAAGCTAGAAAAATCACTAGTGATAGCTTACCAGAGAACTACTAAAGGAAGAATGAAATGTACCCAATAGAACCAACAGCTGGAAAGCTTCAGGTTTCTAAGCAAAGAAGGTCAGCAAGAAGTCAAACCCAATTCCAATCTCTGTTCAAAACCTAAAACATCATGGAAGGGGACTACTTTGTTAACTTTTAGAAGACTCTCCAGAAAGTTTAACTCGATTTCATGCCTGCTGGAATAGGCATTTGCCCTTCCTTTCCTCTCTCCACTCCCTGTAGTTTGGTTTAGTTGGGAAGGTCCTGAGCACAGATTAAAGGGTCAATAATTTGTGAAAACTGAAAACAAGGTCTTTTCTCTAAATATCCACATTAAAAACAACACATGAGAATTTCTCTCTCTCTTTTTTTGTGGTGCTGGGGATCAGACCGAGGGTCTCACACATGCTAGGCAGTAGGTGTTTCACACTGAGCTACCTCCCAGCCCAAGAATTTCTTAATCAACCAAACACATTATTGCGTGATTAGAAAAGAAAATGTACATGTTTTCAGGACAAAATTGCATACACTACATTACACTATATGTGACTGGAATATTTTATAAATATTACCTATAAACTAATTTCTTTCTTCTGTTACCTATCTTTGTCTGATACTTCTATGAAATAAAAGACACACCAAAGTGTTTATGAAACAGTTCAGTGTGAGAATGGGGCTTGCAGGTATCTATTTTGGGGAAAAAATCAATTTCAGAGCAGTTCTTGCTCAACTCCATAGAAGACAATGGATCTGGAGACCCCTACTAGTAGGGCCACACACTTCCTTAGAGTTCACAGTGGAAGATCCAAAGCACACACCTGGTGGGGATGGTGGTGGTGGTTGGGGGAATGTATCCTGTCTCAAAGATCATGCTGCTCGGAACTGTGAGAAATCACTAAAGAGGCTTTGGAATATGCAGGTGGGGGCATGGATCATTTTGTTTCCATATTGGTGACTCAGAAAACATAAGATCTAAAACTGGGCTCACCTTTATCATGAATATTCTCTAAAAAGCCACATTCAGGATGCAGTCAATTCAAAGAAAGGAGTTTTGTAATCATCCTTTCTTGAACTTTGTAACTTTGCCTTCACTGCATGCTCCCTGCCCTGTGTTTCACATTTCTTCCCATCCTCCCTCTCCCCCAGATAACAAAATCATTACAGCCTTAAGAAATCTTATTTATAAAGAGGCTTTTATGCAGAGTTCACAACCCTGTCATAGAGCTATCAGTGGGTATTTTCAGCCAAACAAATGAAATGAACCTCCATTTAATTCATTATGTAAGGTCAAGTGCGATTTACAGTCAGAATCCTGACTGTCAGATGAATATGTTTCTTTTTTCAGTTTTATACATTGATAACAAGGACCTAAGAGACCTTTTTCAGAAAAGCCCTCCAATCCTCCAATATTCAAGCCTCAGGCAAGGGAGACTGGGGGAGGAGCCTCTCAGTCTATGGCAAGAAGGGCAAGTGCTCTGAAAAAAAAAAAAAAAAAGCTCCTGATTAAAATCTAGGGTGCTTCCATGGACTCTGGATAAAGTATACTCCTTTGGGGAAAGACTTTCCCTGAGTAAAGAGTATAGTAAAAGTTTAAGACACGACAGACAACTTAAATAGTATTGTATCCTAAAAGCGGAGATCTGAAATGAGACTTATCCAACAGAATATTACAATTATCTTCATTAACATTTGAGTCATTGAGATTTTCCATGGACACCCAAGAAAACAAAATGCTTGGCCAAGAAGGTTTCATTTAAAAGCAACCTACATGAAACGGAAGGCAATTATTTTTGAAATTATCAAAACACAATAATAATTGAGGCCTTATTTCAATTAACAAAGGGAACACAGGTAGGCCTTGCTTACAGAGTACTCTTCAAAAGTTGTAATTAAAATTAATTAAATGTCAAAAGCCCTATGAGACCTCATTAATTAGTGGAATCTTGAGTGAATGTTTTTGTAGAGCTGTTATTTTGAGAAGTAATAATTGCTTTTGTACCTTTTTTTTTTTTTTTTCCCCTTTGCAGTGCTGGGGAATTGAACCCAGGGCCTCTTGCACACTAAGCAAGTGCTCTACCACTAAGCCACATGCCAGGCCCCATCACTTCCATATTAATCTTTTCAGTATCTAAACTTGAATATTAATACACCAGATTTATTTAAGAGAACCTGTCTGTTAGTGCCTTTTTAAAATATTAATATTTGAAAGAGCCCAAAGGCAAAGTAAAAATAAAAATTCGGAATACAATCAGCCTTCATAGTTGCTTTCCTCATCTTATAAACAAACTTTTTCATAGAGCTTTTTTAGCTTGGGTAGTCACATGAGGCTCAAATACTATGTGACGGACTTGTCCAGGGTTACCCGTGCCCAAGGAATGAAGTTACCCCGGCAACTTCTCAGCTTTAAACATGGCTATCCAGCTTTGCCTGGGAATAGTTTCTTGACACTTGTTTGAAGCCTTCAGGCACCCTATAGCTCTTCAAATCCTCTAACTCCCCAATTGAATACAGGATTGAATACAGGTCATGGGATCCACAGGATGTTAAACAGTTCTGTAGCTCTTTTTTTTGGTTTGTGATGATTACAAAATTCATGATGACATCACAGCCAGGTAACAGTAACATAACCTTATGCTATCAAATAGAGTTTAGAAGTCAGATGAAAAGGTTCTCTTTTGAAAATCAACTATGTTTTTGTAGTATCTATCAAATATGAAACTACCACAATTTAGGGGGGGGATGTGAGGACTAGAGGACCCTGTCTGAGTGTCAAGGACGCCTCTGCTGATCCACTAGTAGGTGGATATGCTCATCTCTAAGAAGCTTCTGGCTCTTGTTAGGGCCTTATGAATCTAAAACGGTGACCTCTTCTCTCCATCTCTTAGTCAAGGAAGGATAGAGGGCCTCTAAAAAATCACTTTCTATCAGGCCCTACGCTGGAATCCATCCTATATTAAATTATTGCTACTCTTTATTTAATGCTTACCAAGTGCCAGGGAAAAGTGCCAAGACTTTGTATAATACAATAATGCAGTGAAGAAGTTATTATCCCTACAGGAACTGACCCAGGGAGGTTAAATATTTTGCCCCAGGTATAAAACTGCTAAGAGGCAGAGTGAGAATCCACATGTGGCTCTCAGACACAACTACCTGCATGTAATGCTTTATCTCCTAATACGGTGGACTATTTCTCTCCTTCATTCCACTAAGATGGGAAATGAAGACTCCCAGGAGACATGGTAACTCCTTCCATTTTTCCATCAGTTGTTCAGCCTGTGGGGCAGACTCAGGACCTCTAACTTATGTTATGTTAAATCAGTGTTTTCCAGTACCTTCTGGACTAGGCCTTTTCAATCTGGTATTATATTCATCCTTTGAGTGTTATTTTTCTCAAACTCCAATAACACAATGTGCTTCATCAAGGGAACTTTATTTATGATGGACTTCCAGCCTCCTAATAAGGAATATATGCTATCAATTTATCTCAGAGCTCAGTACCTATGCCCTGTTTCTCATACACCATAGGGCATCACTGTCATCAGTCACAAAGGTTAACAAACTCATCAATATTGCAGTATAACTTGGTTGACACGAGTGGTTTGCAGCCTAGAGCCCCTTTTATAAATTTCCTTTCATCAGCCTCAGGTATCACTGTAATGGCAAAAACCAACCACAGGTGAATATAATTATTCCTGTTACCAGAGATGGAGGACACTGATCACTGGCATTTGGGGTCCCTGGTAGAATACTGCTGCCCAAATGGCTTTAGAAGAACTGCAACCTACAGTTTTGATAACCATTTGCAATTCACTGCATAGACCACAGCACTCTGGAAGTCATTTTTATTTTTAGAATTTCATGCAGTTTCATGTAGTATAAAGTGTTCCCATCACTGCTCTCCAAAATGACATTTTCTAAAGAGAGAAGGGGGGAGAAAGAAAGATTCTGAAGACTGTCACTTATAGAGTATATCTGGGTAAATGTTTTAGACATATCAGTCAATACCTAGAAATTAAAATGATGAATAAAGGCCCACAATATTATGAAATGGAGGCTGTATTTAGAATAAATACATGGATCAATAAGGATAATCCACTTAAGGGGGATTGTCAGGTATTCCAGTCTGGGGGCTCCTTGCAAAATTTTGAAGAGGCAATGCCAACACTTAGTGAGCTGGGCATGCTCCCTCACCCTGCCATCTGCCCCAGCAGGTCTGGGGATACAAGTGGCTGTGTCCCTTCTACCCCTGGAACCAGAAACTGTTTATTTTTCCCTAGGACATTTCTGTTAGGAAGGAAATACCTTCTCATACTACGGAGAGGTGAGTGGCAGAGCTTTCTCTAAAAAAAAAAAAAATCTATATTAAACAGCGTTTACAAGCACACAAGAGACCAGTGTGTAATCCCAAAGAGCCACGGATACAAGGTGGTGAACCAAATACATTAACAGGGCTCAAACAATTCCTCTGCCACTAAGGGTGCTCTGGCTCTGCAGCCTAGCTTCCCTGTGTAAGATGTGAGTGGGAAGGCGTTCTGGAGAACCACGCAGACCCGCCAGGGCTGCAGCACGCTGCGCTGTGGGAAACGGCAAGCATGATCGAGATTCATTCTCACTTTCAAACAAAACCCATCAAAATCTGCTGGGGAGGGAGCATAAACATGTCACAACTTAGGATGCTGGAGCGGAAAGTGAAGAGTTGAGGAGCCGGGAGACAGGAGCCGACACCTCTGCACAGCCAGGGAGCCTCCAGATTGTAAGCATGTGGCTGGGTTGAGGAGGCGGTTCATTCACCAGTCGCCAGCTATGCAGACTTACGATGAAAGAAAGACACCTCTTCTCTGACTCTTCATTGCACCAGCACCTTCTCTTCCTAAGGACCTGGGTGGGAGTTGTCCTCTTCCCAGGTGATATCCCCCAGCCTCACTTGAAAGCTCACCACTATCTTTATTTATTGGGTGAGATGGCTGTTAGACACAGGCCTGTCTCTTCTAGGACTCACTGCATTCTAACTATCCGAGGCAGATTCTTTATTTAATTCTGTGGGAGCACTTGAATTTATGCCCCATTAAAGTTCCCTTTTGAAAATTACAAGCCGAAGCCACATCTAACAATTATGACGTTTTCTGGATCACACACACATCCTAAAAATGGAAAATTCATTTCATGGTCACAGAACCAATAAAAAATATGACTTAATTTAAAATGCTTCATTTTTTTTCTTTAAAAATAAATTAAATGATTTCAGGTGTTTATAAAAAATTTTATGTTTATAGTGTTTTATAAACACTGGACATACTCTGAAAAGATTCTCTTACATCATAAGAAATTACAGTTTAGACTGGGGACTAAAATCTTTTCTTTTCCTATGAAATCTGCATCAGTTTCAAATTTAACTCTAGTTGTTTTTCTTTTAGCACCAAGGTCAAGATTGGACTTCTTAATATTTATGTTCTTACTCCTCTTTCATCAGCCACTGAAAAAACAAGTGATGCTAATTTCCTACCTCTAGACTTGACTACGTAAATGATCCTGGGTGGGACCACCTTGGATGAGGACATCAGTCAGTCAACAAATATGAGGCCCACAACACACCAGGGAGGACCAAGATTCAGTAGGAAAAGCTCACACTGTCATGTTCCTAATAAAGATCAAAGTCTCAACCTTCACATAACATCAACTACATAAGCTGGATTTCCATGCCATTAAAGGTATTACAGTGCTTGCTAGGAGGGGGTCCCTTTACTTTTTACCTGTCTTTTGGAGTCTCCATCAGGGGACCTCTGACATGAATACAGGATTGAGGACCTTAGTTCTACCAAGAGTTCCCCAAATATTCCATGATCTCTAATGAATACAAGGATCTCTGTGCTTGTGCCTTAGGGTCCCTGGAAGATCCTAAAAGGAGCATGGGAAAGTCCAGACCTGCAGTTTCTGGGAGCCAGAGGTGGATTCTCTCTTGAGAAAACTTTGGAGAAGCGAAGGCTCTGTATGGACAGAGAAGCAGAGCACCTGGCATGAACTACTGCCCAACATTCAGGGCTGTCTATGTCCTGGCTCCAGCCTGTCAGTCACTGCTGCCCTTCATGCTCCCTATCCAAACTTATTCAACTCCATCTAATCTATCCAACCCTGTCCAAACTTATCCAACCCTTCCCAACCTTATCTAACTCTATCCAACCTTATCCAACCCTATCCAAACTTACCCACCTTATCCAACCCTACCCAACCTTATCTAACCCTATTGGACCTAGCCAACACTATTCAACAGAACTTAATTCCCTCATGGGCTTAAGCATCCCAGCTCTCATACCCTTGCTCACTCTTTACTCGAAATGTTCTGCTTTCTCATCTCTCTGCTCTTTCAATCTATGTATATGCTCTAAACTCACTAAAATATCAGAATCCCCATGAAGGCTTCTTTATTTCATTTCCAATTACAAGTTTCTTTCTGTCCTCTGAATTCCCCCCCCCCCACACACACTGTGTCCCTCTCTTTAAAAATTGTTTCTCTTTTAACCTGTATAACAGTCATCTCTTTTTGTCTGTTACCTTCTCCATAAAATTAAAAGGTCCCAGGGGCTCAGAGTCTAGGTTTTACTAGACTAGGTATTCCTAACATCTAATCAAGTAATTCCATGGTTTGGAAACTGGGTTCTGCACAGCCTAGGGGTCCAGAGAGCTGTCCCAAGACACCTGTGGGGGAAGAGAGTGGGTGGGGACACAAAAAAGACTGCCTTTTCTCAATCTGTGCTTAAGTCAGGTGGGTTTTAAGTTTAATTCTTATAATATATCGGGATTTATGTAACATTTTTTTTTTAAAAAAGATTTTGTTAGAGCTAGAATAAAGGAAACCACTGTAATAGATATTGTCAAATACATGAACAGAATTATACCTAGTGCCTCTAGTACTCCTCCCTTCAGATAAAATGAAATTCAGTGATCAAAAATGAGTAGTGGAGGTTCAGAGTGGCTGTCAGTCAAAAACATGATCAAAACAGAAGAGTTTTTTTCCTGTTTGTACTGAACCCCCTCTTTTGTGGGTGTTGAGAATTGAACCTGGGGTTCTTATGCCTGATAACCATGCATTCCACCACTGAGCTACACCCCCAGCCCCACCAAGCTCTGAGTTATGCTTAAGGTGTTTAGAATCACCTGGTTCCAGTGTGCACACCCCCATGCATTGATCTCAGTGCAGTTTCAGAGATACAGAAGAGTCATGAGGGATGCCAACACCTCCTGATTCCCCTTTGCCTCCAATCAATGTTCTCCTCTTTCAATCTTTCCTGTACTATACATGACAAGTATCTACTCTGTTGCTATGGTTAAGAATCTAGTATAGTTTAGATGTGGTGTCCCCCCAAAACTCACGTGTGAGATAATGCAAGTACTGGGTTATATTCTTAACCTAAAAAGTGAATTAATCCCTGTGGGATTAGCTACATGGTAACTGCAGGCAAGTGGGGTGTGGCTGGTAGACGTGGTTCCGTGGGGGGCGTGGCTATGGGGTATATATTTTGTATCTGGAGAGTGGGGTCTCTCTCTCTCTCTCTGCTTTCTTATCATCATGTAAGCTGGTTCCCTCTGCCACACTCTCCCACCATGTTGTTCTGCCTCATCTTGAGCCACAAGGAATGGAGCCAGCCTTCTATGGACTAAGACCTCTGAAACAGTGAGCCCTCAAATAAACCTTTCCTCCTCTACAATTGTGCTGGTCGGGTCTTTTAGTCGCAGCAGAGAAAAAGCTGACTACAACAGAAGCTAGGGGTTTGCTGCTCTCCTTCTTTCCCACAGCTGCTTCATCAGTGAACATGCTGGCCTACCTCTGAGCCATATTCCAATGCAGCTCATCTCTCCCTGCCACCCACTGAACCAGCTGCTCTGGGCCAGACATCATCATCTCATACCTCTGTCACTTTAACTGTCTCTTCCCTGGTCTCCTAGCTTCTACTCTCTCCTCCCCATAATCTGTTTTCTAGACAGCAGCGAAAGTTTTAAATGTCTCCTTCTTTTGTGGGGGTCGCGTGGGGTGGGGTGGGTACTGGGGATTGAACTCAGAGGCACTTGGCCATTAAGCCACATCCCCAACCCTATTTTGTATTTGATTTAGGGACAGGGTCTCACTGAGCTGCCTAGCACCTTGCTTTCGCTCGAGGCTGGCTTTGAACTTGTGATCCTCCTGCCTCAGCCTCCCATGAAAAACTTGTGGAGAATTTTTCATCCAACACCGAGTACAACTTTAACTAGTGAGATGATCTAACTAACAACTATATTTCATGCCAAGTCAAACAAATTTGTTCATTCTGATCACCTTCCATTGGGAAGTTTTCCTTTTTTAAAGAAAATGAATGAGTAGATGACCATGCAGAGAGACATGGAGAGCAGCACACCACTCACAAACAGGAACAACTTACGGCTTCAGACTTGGGAGGCACTGGAGGTGGAGGTAGGGCAATTTCTGAAGACTTCATTGTGGCTCCCAGAGTCTCAGGGACAGGAAGAGGAGAAGTTGCGCATTTGGACCGGGCAGATCCTCTCGACGGGTCACATCTGCTCTTCTCACTCAGAGAGCGAGTGAGAGGCTGACGGATGGGCTTGCCTTCCTCCAGCCACAGCTCTTCATAAGGAAGTTCTGACTTCCCTGGGACACCTGCTGATTCTTCGGTAGCTTCTGGGAAAAGGTAGTCACTCCCACTGTCACCAGAGTCCTGATAGGGCAGGATGTCATGAGGAAAGGGGGCCCAGTCTCCCCCCAGGTCCCTGCAGCCATGGAGGTTCACCTCACTGTTGCCATGGAGATTGTTGCCATACACACAGACTGAGAGCCGGTGGAAGGACTGGGTGAGCTCATCCCGGGCATAGCTGAGGGAATTGGGCACGTGGTTGTGGCCAGAGCACCGGGCCTTCTTGGGGCTCTTGCAGTCCTCATTCCAGTCTGTCTTCACATCCCGGACAGCCCGTGAATACTCATCAATGTCAAACTGCTCTTGGCAGATACCCAGCCAGTGATGGACCAGGGTTTCAGGCCATACCTCTCCCTTTACCAGGTGTTCTGGGAGGCTGAACTTGGGGACGGTCAAGTGCAAAGGGAAGTGCATGGGGAGGATCTTGTTGTTCCGCAGCACGCAGCAAACCACCACCGTCTTGGTCTGGATGTTCACAAACTTGTAGCGGTGCCCCTCTCGGATGAAGTGAAGGTCGTATGGGTTTCTGGGCGGAGGACTTGGGACAGTCACATTCACAGGAAGCCTGGTTTTCTCCACGATGTTGCGGATGGTGTGTTCCCCTTCCTGCATCTGAAGCTCCAGGGGGCTTCGGGTGCTGAATCTGCCCTTGCACTGGAATGGAAGGCTGATGCTTTCGTTGGTCCTGTGATTCATGCAAATGAGGCATGGCATTTTGCCTTTTCCTAGTTTGCTGATGGAATTGAGCTTCCCAATCTTTTTGAAGATTGTGTTAAGTCGTGACTTTTCCTTGAAAGTCTTTGCATAAAGGATTTCTGCCTGACCCATTAGAGTGAGTTCATCCCCAGTACACAGGGTGATGTTGTAAACTTCAGTGTCCTCATTGCACTCTCCTGAAGCCACCTATGACAAATAAAATTTCAGGTTGGTTTTCTTTAGTATATTCACACAAATAAGTAAAGAATCTTTTATCATGATACAAACACACACGCGCGCACACACACACTCACACACGAAACACTGTGCTTTAATACTAAATTTAGACAATTTCCTTTATAATGTTTTGTAATTTCATTTTTGGATGGTCAATATTTAGATGATTAACAAGTACCACTTTTCACCAAGATAATATTGGTTTATATTTTTAAAAATACCCCTTTTCTGTTCATCATCACTAGCAATCAGAGAAATGCAAATCAAAACCACTCTTCAGATTTCATCTCACTTCAGTCAGAATGGCAGCTATTATGCATATAAACAACAATAAGGGTTGGTGAGGATGTGGGGGAAAAGGTACACTCATACACTGCTGCTGGGACTGCAAATTAGTGTAGCCAATATGGAAAGCAGTATGGAGATTTCTTGGAAAATTGGGAATGGAACCACCATTTGACCCAGCTAACCCTTTTCTCGGTCTATACCCAAAGGACTTAAAAACAGCATATACGGGGACACAGCCACATCAATGTTTACAGCAGCACAATTCACAATAGCTAAACTGTGGAGCCAACCTAGATGCCCTTCAATAGATGAATTGATAAAAAAGTTGTGGCATATATACACAATGGAATATTACTCAGCAATAAAAGAGAAAAAATCATGGCATTTGCAGGTAAATGGATGGAGATAGAGAAGATAATGCTAAGTTAAGACAGCCAATCCCAAAAAACCAAATGCCAGATGTTTTCTTTGATATAAGCAGGCTGATTCATAGTGGGATAGGGAGTGGGAGCATGGGAGGAACAGATGAATTCTAGATAGGGTAGAGGGGTTGGAGGGGAAGGAGGATGCATGGGGTCATTAATGATGGTGGAATGTGTTATCTAAAGTAAAGGTATGAAGACACAAATTGATGTGAATATACTGTGTATGTAAACAGAGATAAGAAAAATTGTGCTCTATATGTGTAATAAGAATTGTAATGCATTCTGCTGTCATATAAATAATAAAAGAAAAAATACCCCTTTTCTCCTTACACATGCAAAATTATTATGGAACATTATCTGTCTTTCTTAGTTGTAAATAATTCCTTCATGAACACCACTGCAGAATTTTTTTAAATTATTTAACAATTTACTATTGTTTTTAAAAATTTTCTAACTTTTTAAAAATTTGGAATTGAGACAAAGGATTAAAAAACTTCTTCTTCTTTTTTTTTTTAAATGTGTGCTTCTGGGGATAGAACCCAGGGTCTCATTTATGCTACTTAGGCAAGCACTCCACCACTGAGCTACAATCCTAGCCCATAAAAAATGTTTTATTTCTCCATTAAAATTTTTTTTAAAGAGAGAGAGAAGAGAGACAGAATTTTTAATATTTATTTTTCAGTTTTAGGTGGACACAACATCTTTATTTTATTTTTATGTGCTGCTGAGGATCGAACCCAGTGCCCCGCGCATGCCAGGCGAGCACATTACTGCTTGAGCCACATCCCCAACCCTCCATTAAAAATCTTTTAATACTTTATTTCCTAGTTATAGCTGGACACAACTTATTTATCTATCTATCTATCTATCTATCTATCTATCTATCTATCTATCTATCTATCTATCTATTTATTTATATGTGGTGCTGAGGATTGAACCCAGGGCCTCTCACGTGCTAGGTGAGCACTCTACTGCTGAGCCACAACTCCAGCCCCCATTAAAGTTTTTTAATTATTTAAACTATTCATGTTCAGTGGAAAAGTCAGAAATACAAATACAAAAATTAAAAATTCTATACTCTCTTGCATATAATCTATCAAAATTTTTACATAAATAGAAAAAAAGAAATGGTATCTACTGTTTCAGAGATAAATACCTATATACATAATTTTATTACCTGAGTTTCTAACTACAATCTGTCCATTTTCCATGTATATACTTCATTGATTATAGCAGTGATAATATATGTGTGTGTGTAATTCATATATAATGTATTCATATATGAATGTATATACATGTATTATATAAGAATGTGCCTTAATTTATTTTGACCAGTTTCTTATTATTGGACAGATGGGGTTTTTCCAATATTTAGCAATTATTTAGTATAGTAATGAACTTTTTCACAGTCCAGTTATTTCCAAAGGATAAGGTACCATAAGTAAAAATGCACAGACAAAAGCTAAGTATATACAGGAAAGGTGTAACATGTATTGTCTATTGCATTTCAATGTTATATTTATTTATACTTTTATCAGTTGATGAAAGTACCTATCTCCCCAAATTCGAGTAAGTTTATTTCATATTGACTAATTTGAAAAGTCAAGTCTGCATTTTGAATTTTTTATCTTCCCATAGCAAAGAATTATTCAGTTCAAAACTTAAACAGTTGAGAGTTGAGAAGTTGAGAAATGCTTATATAATTACTACTATTTTCTCCTAGTACTTTGAAGGTTTCATTTGTTAACTATTAAATTTACTTAACTGAATTTTCTTTGGTGGACTGTTTAAAGTAGGGATTTAACTTTATTTCTAAACAGTTTGAAGGCTGGTATACTTCCTAAATAACCATCCCTTTCATCACTGATTTGAAGTGTCACTTTTTAATCTATACTAAATTCATTAAATACATACACTTTATGTTTATATATACTTGCATCTATTTTGAGGTCATTTATCCTAGTGATCTATTTTTCCATCATAATTATATTGCTTAAAATTCTATGCTTTTATCATAAATGTCCACATCTGAGAAAAAAAGCCCTCGCTTGTGATTTTTCTGACTAAAATATTTTTGGGATAGCCAGAAACAAGAGAAGCAAAGTCAAAAGTTAAACGACTGACTGACAAAAAGCATCTGCAAAATATAGCACAAAGAGCAAGTATCCCCAATGTATAAGAACCTTTTTAAAAATGAGGGCCAAAAATGCTGTAGAAAAGCCAGCAAAAGAAATGTAAAGCCAATTCACTAAAGAGGCACACCAGCTTTCATATCTATGAAAAGATGTTCGACTGTTCTCATAATAGGAGAAATGTCAATTAGAATCACACTGAGATACCATTTCTCATCTACCACACTGATGAGGCTGTGGGGTCACTCCAGAACTCCTGGCCATAGTTAGTGGGAATGCAACATGATACACCCCTGTGGTAGGGAATTTGGCAATACTCAACCTAAATATGCATACATTTATCCCTCCACCAAGCAACCCTACTTCTCATGATTTATCTTGATGATAATCTTCCACAAATATGAAAATATACATGTACAGGGTTATTCACTACAGCATTATTTATATTTGCAAAATACAGGAACTGATCCAAATAACCAAATACAGGAAACTGACTGAGTAAACTACAATATACACATATAATGGTCCCATGTGAAAAAGAATGAGAATAATGAGTGCAATGAATTGATGTGAAATGACTTACAGAATATATGGTTAAGTGAAAAAAAGCAAAAAGCAAAAAAGTCTATACAGTGGCTTTCTTAAGAAAAAAGTGAAAATTCGTGTATGTATTTTGTCTGTTTTTGTAAAAAAAGAAAAAAAGAAGAAGAAAAAGAAATACTGCAAAAAATAATGAAAATGGCTACTTATAGGAGGTAGGGGAGGAAAGAACCACATTGATGTTCTACATATATATTAAAAAATTACCAAGCTGGGTGTGGTGGGACATGTCTTTAATCCCAGCGGCTCGGGAAGCTGAGGCAGGAGGATCATGAGTTCAAAGCCAGCCTCAGCAAAAGTGAGGTACTAAGCAACTCAGTGAGATCCTGTCTCTAAATAAAATACAAAAATAGGGCTGGGGATGTGGCTCATTGGTCGAGCGCCCTCGAGTTCAATCCCTGGTACCCTCCTGCCAAAAAAATTTTACAATGTTCAAAAACAAACAAACTTAACTCTGAATGCAAATGGAAACAGATGACTCAAACTGCATTTTAAATTAGTAAAATAACCACTTTGGGAACAGAAGTGGAGGAACAATCCAGTAACTTTGGAATCCTTATTCTCTGACCACATAGTGCCCATGCCAGAAGACTACCTTTGGCAACATAATGCTGGTAGGGGAAAAAGACCAATAAATATGGTGTTTCTGTTAGTAAACCTGTTTTTCACAGGGACATGGTAGAGTGTGAGTCAACTGGATGTGTATCATAGGAATGAAGGAATGAGTCAATGTGTTGATGTGTTGAAAGTTACAGTTTTCACTGGGGAAGAAGAAACAGAAATGTGAAATGGGACAAGGCAGGAGAGGCAAGATAGAACTCTGTGGGGTATCAATATTAACTTACAATTTTCAGAAACTGTACACACTGGAACATACACATATAACATCTTTGTCTTTCTAAGCTACTAGAAGCTATGGCTCTTAGTATCCCCAATTCAGTGCCCAAACCACTCCCCATCAAAAGGAACTGGGGCTCCTTGAAGAAACGACTGATTCCAGCAGTCGGGCAGGAGAGACATAAGATGAGCTTGGAACATTTTGTTGTGCCAGAAAGTAAAGTGCTTATAAGTAATATGTCAAGAGAACACAGGAGCCAGCCCGAATTGGCTCCCACTGGCAAAATCTGGGACAAACTGGGCATCACTATAAACATACCATAATGAATTATAATCTACTGAATAAAATAGGAATGTCTAAGTCTCTACTGACAGCCAAAAGATTAATGAATGAAAAAATGGTGGAAAGGAGGAGGAGTGGTAGGATTAGAAAATTTTGATGATGTAACTGTCATAGTAAAGGCTAGTTTTTTTTGTATAAAAATTTTTTCATACTATTCTTGCAATAATTCTTTAAGATGCAAGTGATATGCATGGCTTTAAAGAATCTCCCAGAATATTTATTCACTGCAAGGAGGAAAAAGTCAATAATATAGAAAAGAAATTAGACAACTCCTTGGTAGGGTGATCAAATTTAATACCATTCAAGTGACGTATACCAACAACCTGAGATACTCACAAACTCATG